AGTGATCCCGCTAAATGGGCTGAGACCCTCACTTAGTCAATGAAGGAAGTTCTTATTCAAAGAGGTGCAAAATCATTTCACAACCGTCACAGCCATTATCCAGCTTCTGTGAGGAACAGTGGGCTAGGAGGCAAAACCCGATGCCTAAACAATGAACATTTTACTTCACACTTGCCCAATGGACGAGTACAAAGAGAGTGGCTGATGTACTCTCCCTCTACTGGTAATGTTTACTGCTTTGCATGCAAACTGTTTTCCCCAAAAACGCATTCTTTTGTGACAGGCTATTGTGATTGGAAACACTCAGAAAGATTTGGTGAACATGAGCGAAGTGCTGAGCACATAACCTGCATGCAAGCAGTCTTGAACCGCGCCAAAGGTGCCACAGTTGATACAGACCTGTTCAAACAGTTTCAGGCAGAGAGCAGCTATTGGAGGCAGGTGTTACAAAGAGTTGTTGCAGTCATTAAATTCCTTGCAGAAAGGGGCCTTGCATTTAGGGGTAAAAATGAATCGTTAGGGTCTCCTCTCAATGGGAACTACCTTGGTATTCTGGAGGTCCTGGCTGAATTTGATCCCTTTCTAAAGGATCACATCAGAAAGTTTGGGCAGATGGGTCGAGGTAATACCTCATATCTGTCCTCCACCATTTGTGAGGAATTCATTGAATTGATGGGTGCAAAAACCAAACAGGCTATAGCAGAGGAACTGCAAGCAAGCAAATACTACTCTATCATTGTGGATTCAACCCCAGATTTATCTCATGTGGACCAATTGACATTCATATTCCGTTTTGTTAGCAAAGAGGGCAGTGTTGTTGAACACTTTGTGGGTTTGGAGCCCATTACTAGCCATACAGGTGAAAGTTTGGCTAACTGTGTCATGTCTGTGTTGGAAAATCTAGGGTTAGAGCTGTCAAATTGCAGGGGGCAGGCTTATGATAATGCCAGCAACATGTCAGGGAGGTATAATGGGTTGCAGGCTCACTTAAAGAAAAGCAACCCATTAATACACTATATTCCATGTGCAGCTCACTCTTTGAATTTGGTGGGAGTCAACAGCATTGACAGATGTGGAAATGAAGTCTCTAAGTATTTTGACTTGATTCAGTCTATTTACAACTTCACAACTGCATCCACACACCGATGGGACAGGGTATTTGGCAATTCCAACATAGATCTCACACTTAAAGCTTTATCCAACACACGTTGGAGTTGCCGTGCAGAATCTACCAAAGCACTGTGGCAGAACTACAGTAAAATAAAAGCAGCACTACAGGTTATTTCCACTGATGACACAGAGAAACGAGACACACGAACTGAAGCTGACAGTCTAGTGCGGAAGCTGGATTCACTTGAGATGGCCTTCATGGCAGGCTTTTGGGACACTGTTCTGTCCAGATTTCAGGCCACAAGTCTGCAACTTCAAAAAGCAGACATGGACCTTGGTACAGCAGTTAGATTGCTGGAATCTCTGCGCACCTTTGTTCTCTCCCAAAGAGATATTTGATCATTTTGAGCAGAAAGCCTTAAACATGTTGGGTGGCACCCCATCTTACAGGGCTGAACGGACGAGGAAACGTAAAAAGTTTGCTGATGAATCAGCATCCCCAGATGTTGTGCTTGAGGGAAGGCAACTGTTTCAAATAGAGACATTTATTGCCTCTATTGATCAACTGAGTTCAAGCCTTAATCACCGTCTGGATGCCTACAAACATCTGAACAATTGGTTCAGTGTCCTTTTCTCTTTGGATACAGAGTCCAATGCTTCAGTCCTTCACAAGGCCAAGATTCTCACTGAATCATACCCATCTGACCTCAATGAAAGTCTTGGACAGGAGCTTATACAGTTCAAATCTTTTATACAGCTCAACAACACTGATGAGGAGAGGACCCCTTCAGGACTGCTCAAAACAATAATACATTTTGGACACAGCCTACGTTTCCTAATACATACATTGCGCTACAGATTTTTCTCACTCTACCGGTCAGTAACTGTGAGGGAGAACGCTCATTCTCTCTTTTGTCAAGAGTAAAAAATGAGCTGCGCACAAGAATGACTCAGAAAAGATTAAATGCGTTATCTCTAATGGCAATTGAGAGTGATCTGACAAGAGAGTTGGACTTCAATGATGTGGAGGATGAAAGCACGAAAGAAACCCCTTGCTTAAAGGTGCACTGTGTAAGATTTTTAGGTTATTTCCAGAATTCACCCATTCACTAATGTTAGGCTACCTGTTTTCATGAATACTTACCACCACCATAAAATTCTAAGTATCCATTATGACTTGGAGAATTGCACTTTTGCCATTTCTGGGAAGTGTCACCTGGATTGTGAAGATAGGATTGACTTTAGGCAGAAGCTTGGTGCTTTCTCTGGCAAACTGAACCTCAAGCTTCATTCTCTGCAGCTTTGCATTCTTGTGCAGACTTTCATCCACAAGGAACTTTTCAACTTCCCCACTATCGTGAAGGGGCCATCAAAAGATTTCAGTGTGTCCAGCATGTCTAGTCTCTTACTCTCCTTTCTTTGAGCCATCTCTTGTTTCTCATCTGCCCTACTCTCGAATTTTGCCTTCATGGATTTACTCCAGTTGAGTTCAACCTCCCTTTTTGCTTGTGCTGCTGCCTTGAAACCTCTGAAGCTCCTGGCACTTCTGTAAAATTATTGACCTATTGACTGCGTTCAGTGTGCCCAACTTCTTCAGTTTGTAGTCCACCTTGCCACATTGTCTCTCCATCCCAATGTTGTGCACAGGGGTGCCATCAATGTTACTAGCCTGTTCACTGACAGGGTCCATTGGGAAGGTCTCCTCATCCATCCTCTGCCTGGCCAGGACAGTCTTCAGATGGGGCAGCATGAGATCTGTCAGCTGCTTCACTTCATCCAAGTATTCGGCAGCCAAGTCTGACACTGAGTTCAGGACATGTCCAGTGCCTGTCCAGCCACTATAGCATTCTTGGAAATGGGCTATCTTGACCTGCATGCAGCCCTTGTACCATGAACTGGCCTACACCTTTCTTTGTGGTGCTCTCCGATGCATGTTATCATTTTACCTTTCTCCTTCTCCTCAAGCTTAACCACAAATAGATACAGACTTTGAGCCTCAATTTGCTGCACAGCTGCCGTTATGCCAAAGTGTTTTCCTAAGATATTATTTTATTTTTAATGATAGAAGGGAGGAAAAGGGGGCAAAAATCATGTCCGATTTAGTTTTTTGGGTGGGGTGGGGGGTTTATTTCATGATAGCTACCAACTTCCAATACATAATATCTCTCAAATGACCCAATGAACCATCACTGAAGTGGGCATAATCATTTTCCAAAATGTTTATTTTTAGGCCATTTATCCCCTCCCCCTGTGTCTGTGTGAAACCTGTGCTTGTCAGTGTCTGTGTGGAATACCTAATAGTGTGTGTGCAGTATGTGCACTCTTCTGTACAGGACAGTGTGCATGTCTGTTCACAGTATACAGTATTTCTTGCATAGTGCGTGCCTGTGTGTGCGCCCGCACGCGCGGGGGGTTGAGGGGCCAAGTCCATGTCAGGCCCAGGGGGCCAAAATTTCTTAATCTGCCCCTGACTCCAAGGAGCGACCAGCAGATGGATGACCGAGAGGACCAGATGTGATGAAAGCATCACAGGAGGGAATGGGATCCTTCTCCAATTGAATTAGATAAGTCCAACACTACGTACTACAATAGGATTGGAATAATATGAATATTATTTTCTGTGATTAGTTGATATTTGCTGATAAGAACACTAATTGTGGTTTTTCTGTCTTACTCATTTTGAGGGGATGGATTGTAAAGACCGGTGAGCCCAGGCATAAGACTGCAAACCTTCGACTTCCGCCTGCAAAATACTAAAGGAACCGCTGATCTGTGTTCATGCCTTTAAAAGCCAAGGACAGAGCCTTGATTTTTTTTCAACAGGAAAGAAGACAACACAAGTATCGATTATTCTTGTATTCTGCAAATATAAACCTGATGATTGTAACATGCCATTGCTTTGCATAATAACCTGTATTACTGTTTTATTATGTCACGTTTCATGTTGTGACTGACTTATGACTGACTTTTATTATTAATTATGATACTTAGTAATGGTTAGTTAATGGTTTCATTTAAAGGTTTATATCCCCCAACTTCCATCCATATCAGGCTGTGTCCGTAATGTTAAAATTTTGTTTTTTTCACTTAAACTTCACACACATGTAAGTGCACTTAGTCACGTAGTATTCACATCACCATGTAACATCACAAAGTATTTCATCTGCAATGAACTACAGGGGGGAATATGTAGAAGCAGTTTTATTGTCCTATATCAGATCAGAATCAGAATATATCCTACAACATGGCCCTATACTTACTTAGCAACAAAACTTAAAGGTGAGTTTTGAGTCTTAGTAACACCATGGTCTCCAAGGCTGCATGAGGGGGTTTGGCAAAAACAGAGAATAGCTGTATAAACATTTCTTGAGGGTTGCAGTGACTTTGACGCAAATCAGCACACGTGAATTCCAGTAAGATGTCGACACAATATTCCTGTGCATGTGCAGTTACGTAATGCGATGTGGAATTTATAAAGGCTGGTTCAGGTGGACTGAAGGTTGGGGGAATTATAACAGACGTGACGATGCATTGCTGAATGTATGGAGTTTTAGGACAGCTGTATGAATTCGGTTTTGTAAATAAATGTTCCCCCCTCCAGATGATGGAATGGTGTGAATCGTTGGCCTTCTTTCTGTCATAAGAGAATTCTACCAATGAGCTTCCATAGATCAGAATAATATTTAGACTGATTATATAACATATCACTATGCTCTAGCTGAGGAAACAATTATTAAAGAAAAACCACATCTAAACAGAAGAATAATATTTATTTATTATCACACTTGTTCTTTAGCTGCAACTAGAAATAGCAGACATACAAGTCTTTCTTTAAGCAACAACATTTACCAATACTTTTTGACAATAAAAAAAAACAAACCAAAAAAACATTTCCAGAATTTTAAGTGTTTAATAGGATGGCAAGAATTTTTACACCCAAGGAAATAATCTTGTCACCAGTGAACAAGAGACAGATCTCAGTATTTTAGTCAGCATAATAAAAAAAGTAATTTTAAAGAAAATACCCTGACCAACATGAAACCTTATTTAAGTGAGTGTGTAGGTGTGTGGGTGTGTGTGTGTGTATGTATGTGTTACCCTGTCCCAGATATATCCTATATTTTGGGGACTCATATATACTTGTGGGAACCAATGGCTGATCCCTATGGGGAGAAGTTCTCTTTTAGGGGCGGGGCTTAGGTTTAGTTTGGGTTATTGTTAAGGTTAGGGATGTGCTGGTGAGGGTTAGGCCACAGGAATACATGCAATATGAACGGATGTCAATGAAAAGTCCCTGCCAGGATATTGTGACACAGCATGTGAGTGTGTATCAGTTATCTTAACCATGCTAAGCTACAGAGTGACAGCATAGATATCTGTAGACGGTGACAGCGTTCCATTTCCTCGAAGCAAATATCAGACAGTATCTGTGATAAAAGAATATAATCTCCCCTACGTTTACACGGCTTAAGCAGCTGGAATCAGCTCTTTACAGTTACCTTTATTTTCAGCAGGAATACATAAGAGTATTTCTAAAACCTGCCGGGTGTTTAATAAGGTGCACAACAGACAAAGCTTTAATTTGATCAGTAATAAACTCAGCTACCTGGGGGGGTTTAATATGTCTCGTTACTTTGTGCTAGAAGTTGCATTTTTGCCTAAAGCTAAATATGACACATTATTTCAGGATTTTAGGCAAGATTACGGTTTACTTTTTAATGCAATTTAAATCTTAAAACTCAAGAAGAGCCTACATTACAGTTTAACTTTTGTCCCATATGAGATCCACTCAGGATGTTGTATAGTTGTTAATATGATTGGCTGTTAGTATCTATACATTCTGGATCTATCTACTTTAGGTAAGGGAAATTTAAGGGCCATAGTAGAAACTTCTCATTACTTTTAAATTCCAGGCATCTTTAGGCTATGGAAACATAGAAGCTATTCCCAAACAAAGCCTGTGCAGTTTCAGCTAACTTTACAGGACATAAGAACAAAGGTAACTGCGCTACAACCTTTGGGCACTATTGCTTAACCCAAACACCTGCTTTAGATAAGCTCCCATCACCCTAGACCACACCATAGGTGATTTTTGCCTGCAGTAGACGCAGCGTCTCTAGTTCATTACTCTGTTCTTCTGCCCAACAACTACTCCATTGTTGGTGGATGTAGTAAGGGTGTAGGAAGAGGTGCTTCCCTCAGAGCCGCCGGATGCACCACTGATCACATGAACCCTTTGACCACGCGAGACTTCAGACTTTTGGAAAGAACCTTTTCCACCCTGACTCTGCTGCCCTCTGCTGTTTGACTCCCGCTTCTTAATGATTGTCTGAGATCCTGATAACTCGTTTAGTGTCGCACCACCCTGAGCAAGGCTAACCTGGTTACCGTTTAGTACTCTCACAGATCCAGCAGGGACATTGCTTTCAACAAACATCATGTTTTGGGAGCCAGAGATCAGGTTCCCAGTGGTTCCCTGGTTCCCCCTGCTGTCAACCAGCACTGCCCCAAGGCTCTGGGTTTGTACATTGGGCATCATTGTCTGACCTTGAACAATAACTCCCTGGGATGAGGCGATATCAGTGCCATTAACCATTACCATGTGCTGAAGACTGGAGGCAGGTGCCTCAGCTAGTATCACTGCATTCTGAAGGGGCTGCTGAACAACATAGTGCATGGGCTGCATCATAGGCGCGGTGGTAAAGTAGACGGGTTGCTGTTGGTTTAGAACTACCATCTGGTTCTGGTGCGCCATCCCTGCCTGCACTGAGGTCATCCCTTCCTTCACTGCGGCCTTGCTCTCCCTGATCTCAGACTGCTCCCTTCTTTCACTGGCTAACCTCTGCTCGGTTCTGGAGTTGGCCGACTGCACAATGGACATATGGGACAACTCTTGGCTGGTCAACAAATCTGGCTCTGACACTCGAACGTTGCTCACAGGAACATTAGGTAGAGGAGTCTCCGTTTGTGTCGTCATCTCAGATTGGACTATTTTGCCACCACATATTTCAGCAAGCTTTTTAAACCTCGGTCCAAAATCATCAAGGAAACTCAGGTCATTGTCTGAATCCAGAAGACTGCAGCATCCCACGGAGCCAGCAGGGGAGCCCTCTCCCTCATAGTCGTACACCAGCTGGTTATCTGTTATCTTAACGTTCTCATCTCCACTGGTCTTCTGTTGTTGAAAGAAGAGTTAGTCAGTTATCAGAATAAAGCAAAAAAAAAGAATAACAAAGATTTACTCTAAAATAGTTCCTTAATGACGAAGCCATCTTTAACATTAGTTAAAAACAGAGATTGGGGGAACGATTGTTTTCATCTGTCACTCAACTAACAGAAAATAAATCTCTATTGGGATCAATCTGCTTATTTACTTTTCCTATAGTTTGTCTCTTAATTCAATCCTAATTTTTCTGATAATTGTGATCCTACATTATTTGTATAAATAAAATGGCAATTAATTCCCTGGTAACAGCTTGTTTAATAAGTACCTTGATTAGCAGACTCCTCTGATCTTTAACCTTCCAGCAAATGAAAATCAAATGCTGCTAAATGGTAAATGCTCTTATATATTTATACAGCGCCTTTAAAGGCCAGGAGACTCAAAAGCACTTTACAGTTACAGTTACCTCTGTGCTCAGCTACCAAAGCCACTAAGTTTCATGAATGAACACAGCTTCCATTACAATGGCTGCATTGATATAACAGAAACACCACATGTTGGACCAAAGCAGCAGAGAATGCACAAATATTTCAATCAAACTGACATGATTTATATTTTCAATAGAAAATGAGGTTTCACCTGGATGTAGTAGAGTGAAAGGAAGCTGTCTGGTAAAGCCAAGTCATGATATCCTCTTGACTCTCGAGTTTCGGACTCAAAGCCACTGCCTTCCCACATGTTCATCCCCATTTCGTCTCTGAAGCCATTTGAGGACACACCTTGGAACATGCCCTGATTCATGGAAGCCACCGATTGCTGCATTTCAAATCCAGCCCCTGGCAGAGCTTCTACATATTGTAGATCCACACCCTTTATATTCTGTGTTGGAAAGTTCAGCAAAGCAGCAGCTTCCTGCAAAAGATCAACGCAACAATTATTGGAGCAAAATCTTTATGTTTTCTGTCAAATCGGGTAATAATAATAATAATGAGTGTTACACCGATGCCATTTATTGGCCCGGATACCCGATACTTGGCTGTGCAGTATCAGCCGATACCAATACCATTTGTTTGAAACTGATGTGTGTGTATCTATGAAGAACTGCAGACTACTTGGATGTAAAATAATCACCATCATGGCTTTGTTAAGCTGCTGCCTACCTTTGTGAAGCAGGAAACAGACTAATACAAAGTGAATCCAGTATAACTTTTTATTGTCTACCTGGAATGGGTGACAATAGTTGAAGAAACTTTTGGCTCTTAAAATGGTATCGGTGTCCTATTTGTTGGTACTCGCCGATACCGATACCACCATTGCAGTGCTGGATCAGGGCCCGCCTGATACTAGTATCGGTGCAACACTAATAATAATGTAACGTTATTGATCTCACATTTGAGAAATTCACTCTTCATTTAACCGCTCCCATTGGGGAGCAGTGGGCTGCCATTGTGCGGCACCCGGGGAGCAGTGTGGGGTTAAGGGTCTTATTCCGGGACCCAGAGAGGGAGTGGGGCTCAAAATTTAGAACCTCAGGATTCCAAGCTCTATGCCCTAACCACTATGCCACCACCCCCCATATCATTAACTTAGATCATAAATATCTTTCAAAAATATCTAAGAATGTTTGTCTCACCACATTGTCTCCGGGGGCTTCAGTGTCGTAGTGAATGAGATGAGATTTTGTCGAAGGCACATCAGTAAAGAGGTCCTTATATTTAGCCGCACTTCCACACTGGCAGAGGATCATCAACAAAGGAATGACTGGAAGAAAAGTAATTTAACATAATTAACTGAGAGAAAACTAACAGCTTACTAGTTTATAGGATCATGTTGCCTCTCTGCCCAGCTTACTGACATTACAAACAGAGAGAGATGTAAAGAGAGCTCGGCAGTAACACAGAGGGGGGAAGCCAGGACATGATATTGAAGGATATCAAACTGTGAGATTTCATCCATACTACTTAACAAAAGAGCTCGCCAACACTATTCTGGCTAATGTTCACATTCTTTCGTCAGCTATTGCTGACAATGCAAGTGATGTAATTAGATTAGATCATTAATCTTCAGACACCAGTGCTTTTTTCTAGCATATGGTGATGTTAGCCATGCCTCTGCTACAATCCAAGTGTTGCTAAGAGTTTGTCAGATTTTTATTTGCATCCAGTAAAATGGTTGCATGGTGGAGCAGAGCCAGACGGTCCTGGGTTCGATTCCCAGCCTAGGGTGTTTCTTCATGGTGTTTGCATGTTCTTCATGTTTTTTCCCCCTCTGTTTAAAAAAACATGTATTTTGGGTTAATTGATGTCTCTAAATTGACCTGTAATAGACTGGCAAGCTGTCCAGTGTTGACCCCACCAAAAGACTGCTGGAGAAAGGCAACAGTCCCAATGTGACCCTGACATATGAGCAGGAGAAGAAGGTCAGACATGCATGAGGCTTAAAACTTTTCTGTTTGATAAAGCTTCTAGTTAGAGTGGTTCAGGTTATCCTGATCTATCTCTATAGTTCTGCTGCTATAGGCTTAGACTGCTGGAGGACATAGGGACCCCTTTTCCATCATTCTGCTTCATTCTATCTCTGTTCTCCCACTCTGCAGAATCTGTTAGTTCAATCTCTAACGTTCTGCTCTCTCTGCTTTTTCTCATAGTAGCTTCATCTGGTCTGTTCCTGTTTGGCTGTGACTCCATCCTGGAGAGAAATATCAGCTGTGCTGCTGCCATCAACACCTTTGTTTCTAGATGTTGGAGCTTGGCCTGTTTTCCAGTGTAGTCCTGTTTCTCTGACTGTGACTAACTGGATGTGCTCTCTTCATCCTCTGACATGGGAGCTGGCTCGGAGCTCGTCTGCCTGGCTGTGTGTTTCCTGGACGGGGTCGCCTGTGGAGCTGGTTGACAGTTGCCTTTTGTATCTATGCTTCTTTTTCTATGTCTGCTTCTGTCTCCTTGAACCCCAGTGGGCCTCAGCAGATGGCCGCTCACACTGAGCCTGGTTCTGCTGGAGGTTTCTTCCTGTTCAGAGGGAGTTTTTCCTCTCCACTGTCGCTACAAGCATGCTTAGTGTGAGGGATTGCTGAAGAGTCAATGAGTCGATGCAATCAGCTGGTTTTCCTTTGATAGAAAATTTTGAACCAATTTCATTGGATGATCTGGTGAACTGTAAAGTGCTTTGGATGACATGATGTACATTGGTGCTATAGAAATAAATTGAATTGAATGGAATGTACATAGCAACATAGCAACACCCTGTTTTAGCCACCATGTATAAACAAGCTGTCCAGAGGCCACTTGTGCCAAAAAGAAATGCACCAAGATCAGAAGAGGGAGCTGAGTCAGCCCTGTTAGGTTGTTTTAAGGTTCTTCCAACCATGTGGAAAGGACACCAATATCAGTAGTGACTGTACCCAGCTCAGTGTGGGCAAATCATCATCGTCCTACTAACTAAAGCTAGATCACCAGTGGCTTTAAGGAAAGGCTTAAAAAGATAATGGGGACTGAGAGCTGCTAAAGGGTAAAAGTATGATCCTTAAAGTAGTTTAAACTCCACCATACTTACGCAGTAAAAGCAACAGTCCCAGAAAAAGCAGGCCGATGGCTGCAGCTCCAAGCTCCGACAGTTTCTCAGTCCCACCCATGTAGGCTCGGTTTGCACAGACAACTCCATCCTCGCAGACACAGACATGGACATCCAACTTTTGTGGGGTTTCACAAGACTTTCCCTGCTGGTCTTTCACCTCCACCATCAGTTTATAGACACCAGGCCAAAGCTCCTCCTCCACCCTCAAAATAGCTGCACTCTCTGTTGGATCCAACAATGATTTGATCATCGGAGTTCATGAGAGATTAAAGAGAAATTTGCTTTTCTTTAAAAAAATCATACATTAGAGAGGGTCATATCAAAATAGAAGCTATTTAAAAAAATAAAACTAATTTTAATATGTCAGAAACATCTTGAATCACAAATTTCTTCCAATAGGGATAACAACATTTATAATTTTTTTTAATTAATTTTTGTAAATTTTTAAGTGCTATGCATTTCAGGCAGACAAAGTAAAAGACATAGCAGGAAAAATATATCCCCCTTTTGAATGCAAAATGTGAAGTTATAAAGAGCATCTTTTGCTGTACTGCAAACCAGCGACCCCCTACCGGGGAGGCCTGCCCCACGCCGGTGCCCCAGGAGACAATGGATGTTTTGAAAGAAATTAAAATAGTATTACACAAGATTTTAATTTAAAGGAGAAACAAGAAAACTTCTTGTTTGTTTTTTTCTGTTTTTTTTGCATTTAAATATCAAGAATTTGTTCCTGGAAGTAAAATCAGGTAAAACAATCAAGCACTAGGTGAAAGTCACAAAAATCTGAAACTCTAAAAACACAAACTGTTTGTCAGTGTTATTAATAATTCATTCAGATTTTCTCTGCAAATGACATATTGTGTTACCGTTGTAGCGCTCCACGTGCCATTTTCCCTCTGTGCCTTTTGGGTTGATGATAAACTCAAACGGCGCTGCATTAGGAAATGCATCTTCATCTTGGGCATTAACAATGACGCTGTCTTTGGTTGTGCACATGGACTGGACTTCACTGGTCAGCGTGGGGCAGTGGTCGTTAAAATCCTCTACTTGGATGGCAATAGTGCCAGTTGCTGTTTTATCTGGCATATCTGCCATGGTGAAGCAAAAACAGTCCATCATTTACAGTGTAGGTTCGGACTTTAATCTCAGAGACGGAGGAAAGGACAGAGTATTACATTTTTATACTTCATTGAAAATACTTAGGTTATCCTGAGCTATTTTCTGCATTTTTGCTGCTATATGCTTAGACTGCTGGAGGGAGTAGGGACCCCTTTTCATCATCTTGGACAGGGCCGCCTGTGGAGCTGATTAACAGTTGCCTTTTGTATCTATGCTTCTTTTTCTATGTCTGCTTCTGTCTCCTTGAACCCCAGCCGGCCTCAGCAGATGGCCGCTCAAACTGAGCCTGGTTCTGCTGGAGGTTTCTACCTTTTTATAGGGAGTTTTTCCTCTCCACTGTCGCTACAAGCATTCTTAGTGTGAGGAATTGCTGAGGCCTTGAGATGACATGTGTTGTGAATTGGCGCTATAGAAATAAACTGAATTGAATAAAATTTCTCCTATAAAGAATGTTCTTAAGCAGATTTTTCACATTTTAGATCCACATTTAGCACATTAGCTCGGTAACTTGATGGCTAAAAAAAACAATATGCAGCGCAAGAGTTTTCGCTCTCCAGCAGCAGACTGGGGGGCGGGGTCTTGCACATGTGATGTCATGCTTCAACATGCCCATAGATGCCCCGTTAGAATTGAAAGACAATTGTTAAACTCCTAAAGGTGATGCTTTATCCAGAGCTAAAGTGTAACAGTTCTGTCAGTATTAGAAATGAAACTTTATCTTCTGTTTCTAACAAATGTAAAACCCTTAGAGGAAATAGTGTTTGCCTTGTTGCTATAGATATATTGTGGCATATTAGATTATATAGTGGCAGGAATTGTGCTATAATTATTGTTCACAGATTGTTCACACTTCTATAGAAGTAGTGATTAAAAGAAGTTACATGAAATATCAGGGGTTTCTAAATGAAGCTAAATGATTATAATGATTCTAACCTAACATTTAACCAATCTGATGGTTGAATAACCTAAATAATTTATTAAATACAAGAAAAAATGGATAGTTTTTTATAAATTAGATTGTGATCATTACAGAGCCTGTAATTGGGATTTAAAAATGTAATAATGTTCTACCACTAGTTGATATAATTGTTGAGTAGTTGTGTAAATGTTAGGGCAAACACCAACCTAGTTTTTTTTTTAGTCTTAATAAATTCGGACTCTGATAATAAAACTGTACCTTCTGAAATGCAGAGAATTTCAGCAAAATATGTTCCGTTAACCAGCAATGGAGATTCCCTGTCAGGCACCTTCATCAGTTTTATTTCCGCTGTCTCAGGGTCAATGGTAATCCAGTTGTTAGGGTCGTTTCCTTTTAAGTATCTAAACACAATATATAGAAAATATTATATAAGTCAATGTGACAAAAGGAGCTTTTATTACATTTTCTAAGGTCTTAGATTTGTTTAATCACTGACTTGACGTTCTCTGCTGGTTTCTTAGTGTCTTTATCCATTGCAGGATAACTGGAGATGACTTGACCAATGGTGAAGGACTCGCTTCCTTCTGTGACTGGAATAGCTTTGACTGCTGGTTCAAAATGTGGTCCTTCTGCCTGGTTCTTCACATTGATTTTGATTGGATAGGTTTTGAATTTTCCACCGGATCCACCGGTTCCAGAGGAGCTGCTGGAGCCACTGGAGCTGCTGGCGCCGCTGGCGCCAGAGGCACCACTGGCTCCAGTGGCGCCGCCGGAGCTGCTGGAGCCGCTGGCACCGCTGGCACCAGAGGCACCACTGGCACCACTGGCACCACTGGCACCACTGGGACCTCCTCCAAAACCAATACTAGCTCCACCATTGGGAATAGATCCGTCAAACATGGGGGCCTTGTTGCGCACCGCTAGCCCTAGGTCCAGGTTTTTTACATCCTCAAAGTCCACAGCCTGGAAAATAACAGAGAGAAACAAAAACTTGTGGAGTATTTACACTGTGGCATGTAGAAATAAACGCATTTGGCCTTGTAGTATCGATTCTGGCATCTGTACACCCTGGAGGCCAAGACCTGCTCTCCACCAAATCATTTTTGAAAGGCAAGTTACACAATGCTAACATGGGGAGAAACAGCGCAGATGCAGATTATCACTTTTTTGTTATAAGTTTAATGAAATCTTATGTCTATTTGCAGTTTTATAGGATGTTCTTGATTCTGGGAATAGACATTCCAGACAATCCATCAAAAATGAAAAGACTTGAACCTGAAGAGTAAAGAAACTATACCCTTTCTCTTCTTTAAAACCAAATTTTTTCAAAGTTTTCCTCCTCCTTAAGTGTTTTGCCCTCTTCTATTGATAAAGGAAGAGTAAGCAAGGCAATAAACATTGATGAAGCCCTATAATAATTTGTACTTTCAATGCATCTGATGTCAGAAATTTTTAGTCTATTGCTTTTGTTTTTAAAGTTGATTTTAGATTTAAAGGGGGAAAGATAATGTTTGAAGCCAAGTTGTCCTAAAATTTGTCAAGTATCTACTAGCGCTGGTTTCCAGTTTCACAATATTACTCAGTATGAAAAAGTAGTTGTTTAAAAACTGCAGATTTTTGTAATACCATCAATAAGAGAAAGTGGTTAGACTTCTTATACCCCTGTTTAAACCCAGGAACATCCAGCTGTTAGGTACAGTGGGAATTGCTCACTGACTGGTTTCGACCGGGTCAAACGACTCGGAAAACAACCTGGGCTAAAATCGCCTTCAAACAGGTCAGCTCCATTTGGGATACAGTGGGAGCACCAGACCCAGGTCCATCCGCTAATTTATGTGATACCACTGAGCGCAACGAGCCTAAGTCAAAACTTTCAGTCAGTTGCGTCCGATATAGCAAGGCGAAACAACTCTGCTAGCATTCGATAAACATGAAGTAAGAGAGATTAGGAGGGACAAAAGAGCCAAATAATACAGCACACTTAAAATACCCTAGCTTCCTTAAGCAGGGCATACACTGTGTGAGTTTTTGCCCTTTTTGGGCCAATTCTCCAGTCCTGCGAGAATTTTTGGGATCGGGCAGGGTTTCGGCCTCATCGTTCATCCTGTAATTAGCCTCTCACGGCCACCTCCCAATCGGGAATCTTAGGCCGCCCTCGTGAGGAGTTCATGGGCTATTGAAGCAGAGCTATGAGTGTCTAAGAGCTGATTTACCAGAACTTTGCGTATTGCGCATGTGCAAACGAGGGAATTCTTCATCTTTTAGATTGCCGAGAGCGACCAACTCAATCTCTCGGCGCTGAGTTGAACGTCTATTTTTTGGACGTAAAGTGTGTGCAGGTAGATCACATCACAGCATGGGGTTGTATAGGTTAAGAACAGTCGGAGGAGTGTTGACCTAGTGGTTAGAGCAGTGGGCTGTGCTCTGAGACGGTTGTAAGAAGGTTGTAAGTAGTTCGATCCCCAAAGACTGCCACTCTGGGTCCCTGAGCAAGACCATTAACCCCACACTGCTACCCTGGTGCCGCACAATGGCAGCCCACTGCTCCCCAAGGGGAGGGATTAGATGCAGAGTGAATTTCTCCATTGTGAAATCAACCAAGTTCAATTTCTATTTCTAACAGATTTTGTGAGCCGTGAACTTGTGGTTTCGTTGTACAGTTTGAGCTGTAGCCAAGTAGAACGATTTAAAATATTGTACAGTGTATGCCCGGCCTTACACATTGCTCTCCATTGTTCACTTTCCTGATTTCTGTCAAACTAATGACATCATCAATGTTAAACCGTCGTGATGTTGTCTCCAGATGCTAGGGCATCTAGGGACCTAACCCTCACTGTTTGCCGAATTGAAGGTGCAGTTTAGCTATGGTATCTTAAAATGAACGACTACCTTTGGCATCAGGCATTAGTGAAACTAATTCTACTGTAGTAGACAGCTTGGTGATTGTTAAAGTCGCAAGTTGCAGCCATGCTATTTTTCCTCCCTCGTTCATACTTGTTTCCGCTGTTTTTTGCATACTTGTGCAATTTATAAATGTTTTTATCAATGCTGCTTTCCTTACCAAGGCTGCACTTTAAAAAAATGAAATAGTCTAGAGAGCTGTACTAAACTAAATTTCTTTCTGTTTATACTTGTGTGCACAAAATAACAAATAAAATCTGTCTAAGCCTATGTCTAAAAAATATTCTTCCTGTAAGAATGGAGAAAAAAACAAGGGATCAGCTGGATGGTAAAATATAGGTCAGGTCACACATCGGAAACAGATGTGAGCCTCCTTGCTAAATATTTAGACCAAGATTGGGATTTAAAAAGCAAATGTCTTCAAACTGCATTCTTTTCAGAAGATCATATAAGGTAGAGCATTATAAGCCTGATCCGGTGGTGGAGAATTACAGTCCAGACAGATGTTACTACTGGGCCTTTATTGTGGCTCTACCTTTCTTACACCTCATACAATATATTTAAGCTATCGAGCTATTTTCTATGTTGGTGCTGCTATATGATTGTGCTGCTGCAGGACATAGGAACCTCCTTTCTTGTTTCTCTGACTGTGACTAACTGGATGTGTTCTCTTCATCCTCTGACATGGGAGCTGGCTCGGAGCTTGGCTGCCTGGCTGTGTGTTTTCTGTGGAGCTGGTTGACAGTTGCCTTTTGTATCTATGCTTCTTTTTCTATGTCTGCTTCTGTCTCCTTGAACCCCAGTGGGCCTCAGCAGATGAGCCTGGTTCTGCTGGAGTTTTTTTCCTGTTCAAAGGGAGTTTTTCTTTCCACTATCGCTACATGCATGCTCAATGTGAGGGATTCAGTGACAAAATGTAAGCCAAGGTCATCGATGCAGGGTCATCCAGGAGGAGCATGTCTTGCAAGACAACAATTGGATGCAATAAAATGTTTTTTCTAACCAATCTGTATTCTCTCTGTAAAGTGCCTTGAGTTGACATGTGTTAGGGTAGTAACAGTAATTTCTGCTAGACTGAGAGAAATACATGCATGAAAGCGGCCTCAGTGAATATAGACAGATTTGCATCAGGACTGAGAGTGATGGTGAAGGCTAGCCTCGTGAGACCATCCTGATCTCGCGAGCTTTCAAGGTTTCACTCGCAGATCAGTCCGGAGACTCTCCGTTAAAGAAAATTTGGAGCCGTTCACCAAACGAACGTCCAATCAGCGTTGGCTTTGAGGCGGGTTGAGGAGTGACGCAACGAGAAGCGCGACAGTTTAGTCTAAAGAACATGGCGGCTTCAGCCAATGAAACTAGCGTTAGCGTGGCTATCGAGCAAGTTTTATGGGAATTACAGAGTATTTCTTCACTGAAAGAAGAGCAAAACACTGCTCTGGAGGCTTTTCTCAGAGGAAAAGATGTTTTTGCTCTTCTCCCGACTGGTTTCGGCAAGAGTAGCCTGGCTTGTGTTTTCGTCGTCGCTCTGTTAGTACGTCATATGCTTCGTTGATCTGATTGGTTTATTTGGCCAGTCTATCACCAACATAGGCCAATCAGCTAACCAGTATTTTCGCCCCTTCCCAAAATTACTTCAACGGAAGATTTCCAGATGGATATGCGGAGCAAATCCATCTGGCGGAGTCAGGTTAGGTGAAGGCCTCATCCCTCAATAACTGCACTCGACTGCAGTGCTTTGGGTATCACCTTTACTCGACTTTTGGTAAGCAGAATTAGTAAGTACCAATCTTATTATTAGTATTATCTTAGTTAGTAATTCTAAGGGTCTTTTCGTGCTTGCCCTTTCAAAAACTTGTATAATGTATTTGTAAATATAAATCGAAACTGGAGACAAAAAATCAGGAACATAAAATGTCCTGTCAGATTACTTCTTCATATGTTTCATTTATTTCTCAGAGCAGGCAAGAAAAGACAAGCGGGTAGAACAAACTTTGGTTGTGGTGGAGAAGAAGTGGTTTCCTTCAGTTTTTCTTGAAAGAAAAAGAGAGACTTTGTTGTTTCTCAGGAACAGTTTTCCCCACCCCAACACAAGCTGGTGACAGTCACCCATTGGGTAGGGGTCACACCATTAAAAAGGTTTGGTGGTATCGGGACAGCGCCAAGACATCTCTGATTACTCTGGGCCAGTAACACCTCAAGGTGCTTTGTTCTTTCCTGGTAAGGCCGAGAGGTGTTGGAGTGTATGCATGAGGTCCTCTGTCCGCTACTGGAGGTCCCAGATTGACTCTCTGGTGAGTGTGTCATACCTTAGATGATGCTCCACTTCCTCAGAACTCAGATTCTGAAAATATCTGATGATGAAACAGAACTCAAAAAGACATGAAGGAGACATTCATGGCATACATGGATGAAAACTATGCTGACCATGAAACAGATGATCTGCTGGATGTTGCAACAATGATGGACCCATGGTTTAAAGGACAGCATATGAAGCAGGGAAAGATTGATGCCATGAAAATGAGGGGCGTGTCTAAGATGTTCGAGGAAACCAGAACCTTTCCATTTCAGCCACAACCCAGGGAGCAAGAGATAAGGAGACAGAAGCTGCTACAGTGGCCCCCGCCAAAATGAAACAGGGAAAATCCTTTAGGGCTTTTGTTAAGAAATCATGCCCCTCACACCAGCACAGAACTCACTGACAAAGAAATGGTAGAAATGGAGTTGGACAACCACATCCTGGCACTGAAACTCATCGACTGCTGTGATGCAAAAACACCTCCCAAGCAGGAACTGCCTAGCAAAGCGCTACTTGTGCATCCCAGCAACCAGAAGCCCCTCTGAGAGGGTAATTAGGACAGAGGGTCATCCTGCAAACTGCCACAGCGCACTTTCTTAGTTTTTTGAGGAGTTGTTTATTTTGGACAATAGGTGACAGGAAAGGCGGTATGAGAATGAGGGAGAGACATGCGACAAAGGTACACGAGTGGGATCGAATCTGGGTCGCCCGCGTCGAGGACTGAGGCCTCCATGCATGAGTCATGCGCGCTAACCACTGGGCCACTGAAGCATGCCTACATGGCGGTTTTAAAGGCAGAAGCAGTAGATAAACGCGTCTTCCTTGCCTGGAACCCGTAATATCTGGCTTTGGTTGACGCACTGAGGCAGGATTCGATTATCAGGGCAAGAAAGTTTATTTCATTCATTTAATTTTTTGCCTTGAAAGCTGTTGAAGTTTGCACAGTCCCCATTGCTTTTTTTAAAGTAGCAACAGTGGCTCTTTCACTGTTACGATTCTAGATAATTGCTTTGGCTGTTTTGTATTTTTTTTATCAAACTATATTCTTAAAGCACTAAATGCACCTTTCTTCTTCATCTTAAATTATTGTAATATTCAACATGTTTCCTCTTTTTAAAATAATATTTTTTATCCTAAATAAGATTAAAAAGGCCTCGTCTTCTGCAACAAGTCAGTTAGACAGAAAACTTTTAGCTAATCTGACTGGATGATAATTGATTATTCTCTGGTAGGTGCCTTGAGATTACAAGTTGTGTAATCAGCTGAACTGAAATATCAGAAGAGGAGGAATCCTTTGGGGCCCAACCACACACCCTAAGATGTAGAGAAAAAGAATAGCAGGATACCTTATCAAGCATTAAGATGCCTTCGCCGGTTATGGGATCTTTTTTTATGCTGAAATATCCGGCCTCGTTCCCTTTGACGATTTCATAAACAACATCCCAGTTGTCTGTGTTCTCTTCATCCAGGTCTCCTGCTTTGAGCCTCATCACCTCAACATTGTGTGTGTTCTCCAAAATGGTTGCCTCATACTGCGAAGAAGGCACAGAGGGTAAAAGGATGCATTACGGTAATATTCATTCAAACAGGACATTTGTTCATCAAAATTCTTTGACTTGAAGATGTTGCCAAGTTCTACAGCCAATAAAAGCAGTGACATCAACACACAAACGCTGCATGAAGCAACTTACTTCAGATTTTTCTAGAGTTGGAGGATTGTCATTGACATCTTGGATTTTGATAGTGACGGTGCCTGTTGTAATGTGTCCACCTGGCTCACCGTATAGATCTCCAGCAGTCACTGTTAGAATGTATGTATCTTCTTCCTGAAAGGAAAATAGCAGTTAGAGCTAGCCTAACGGTGGCAAGGCCAGTTCCTTTTCTACACCCCATTTTCGGACACTTTCAGGTGATGGTAAAGCTATAAATAACAACCTGGCTTCATCATCGGCTCTTGTTCTCTACTTTCGAGACCTTCCTTCATCTACTCCACTGTCCAACGTGTGGTTTTTAAATGTACAGTGTGAGCAGGTAGATCCATCAGAGCGTTGGGTCTTACAGTCAAAGAACAAACATCTTGAGCCGTGAACTTTTAAAGCCTGCGGTTTCGTCATACAGTTTGACCTGTAGCAATGTACAACGATTGAAAACATTGTACGCAATTGTATTGTATGCAATAACCCTCTGTTTGCGTGTTCCAGTGGAGGGTCCACCACTTTGAGGGCCATCCCAAATCACATAGTAGTAGAAAAGGCAAATGGACCTTTAATTAGCCATTAATTAGTGAGCCTGCATCAGTGTAGATTGGCTGGAATTTGGCAGAGGGTCTAACTGCAATTTAATGGAGGTGAAAACATTCAAATCTAAGTTCTGTCGATTTGCTGCATCTTCGTTACATTGATAGAAAATCACAAGTTAGGGTAAAAGACATCTGGATCCAATTAAAAAGTGTATGATTTCATGTAATCCTGCACCAGAGAGCCAAGCATGTCACTACCCGACCCATACCAATAGCACGACCCCTACCGGTAGCACGACCCATACCGGTAGCACGACCCATGCCGGTAGCACGACCCATACCGGTAGCATGACCATACCATCAGCTCATTGCCGCAACTAGATATACTTTTGGGGCAATGTCAATTTTACTTTGTAAAAAAAGTGTACTGAACTATAATGTGTTAAAGGGTTATAATGTATTTCCTGAGAAAATAAATGCATTTAAATCCTTTCTTTTTTATCACTAGTTTGAGACTGAAATGGGATGCTACGCTACTTTCAGGAGCTAACTTTATCAGCTTCGGATTTAAACATAAGTCTAGTCTTTTTGAGTTTTATGTTTTCCTTTCATGTTAACATTATGGTATAGAGTGCGTAATCTAAAGAAAGAAACAACTAAAATGCAGATAAACATGGTTTAATCATATCTGGCTGGACTGCTCTGAGCATGTTCCATGATGACATCAGAGAAGCAGTTTAACAGAGAAAATGCAAAAAACATTAATTTTCTCAGAAAAATCATAAAAAATGTGATTGAAGGATTGAAATAAGTTCTTTTAGTACAAGGATTACATTATTTATGGCGAACTGGAGGAATTTAAGTAATTTCCCTCTGGGATTATTAGAGTATTTCTGATTCTGGATATCTGATTGCACATGGGCAAATAAGCCGATGGTACGGATCGAATAGGCAAATTGTTGCCATAGCAATGACTGCTTCCCATATCCAGCAGAGAGAAGAGGTGATTGGTCCATTAGTTCTGGTAACGCAGGTCTAAGGGCTTAACATCCTGAGTCCTTCAGCAGCTACTTCCAAATGTTTTCCTCTACAAAGGCAGATTTTACAAAGGCAGATTTTCTTGGAACCAACTAGCTTTTTAATGGCTTTTGTAAAAATACAGTTTGTTTGATAAAACCTTAATTATGTTTATAAACAAAAAAATCATACTTCTCTGTCCAAGTTAGGATTGCTGACATAGATCAAGCCGTCCTTGCTAATGCCAAAGTCTTTGTGGGGTTTCTGGTTTATGATGGAGTAGGCGATCTTAGCGTTGGCTGTTTCTGGATCATCTCTATCAGTGGCAGTGATTTTAATAACTGAAGTTCCTGCCAATCAAACCACAGTGGAAAAAAAATTCACTCAGCTAAAAGTTTAGTGTAAAATGTGACAATAAATCCATCTGTAATGGATTTCAAGATGCCATTCAAATCTGGATCACTTTAAACAGAGCAATTTTTTAGTCCTCAGAGATACCAGCATCTTTACTCTTTTATATATTTGCACCACTGACCTGGAGGGCTGAGTTCATACACTTTAGCTTCCATCTTTGAAGGAAATACTGGAGGATTGTCATTTGCATCCATGACCTTAATTCGCAGGTCAATACGTTCCTCTGCTTCACTTCCATTTTGAAAATGAGCAACACCTGAAAGCTGAAAAGGATAAATCTGAATTATATTTTTGCCATGTTTACAGAACAGAAATTATGCGAGCAAAATATATTAAAATGAATGTAGCAAGTGCAGATATTGTTAGAATAGACAGGCTGCTGCCTTTAAAGGCCACCCTAAAACCAGGGCTGAGGTTCTTCTGGAGACGACTCACTTTATACACCGGGCTACATGAGGATAAATCTTTATGAGAATACAAACAGTGACATTGATTAAGAATTTATTTATTTATTCCCCAAAAGAAACAAAACTTTCCACTAAATGGAACCTTCCACATTTCTTCCGGAAGAAAGTAGAAGAAACTGGCATTTAACCCCTCCCCTTGGGGAGCAGTGGGCTGCCATTGTGCGGCGCTAGGCACTGCATGAAAAGAGGGATTTTCTTCAATATGCGGCACTGTAGATTGTCGTGGAAGTTCAGGTTAGCGGCAGTTTACGGCAATTTGCAGGCTTCGCCGAAAACTCCCGTAAATTGTCACAAATTGACGTAGACTTTCTTAGGCGGTGTTCCCCCCATGCCTCCCCCCCATGGAATTCTAGGGGAGGCTTTAACATGTAAATGAACATGCTGTGAGCTATACAAATGCAAATCAGGGTTGCAGGGGGGGTTTTACCCCAAGTGACATTTTTCTAAAAGGTAAGAAAATCTCTGATACAAAGAGATCAGGCTCAGTATAGCCTCTTACATTTTAGCTTGAATTGATTTATTTAATTAAAGTATAGAGACCAAAACAGATCTTTAGCTGACAGAGCAATACATTTAGAGCAGTAATTATTTTAAAAAAAATTTGCATTTAAGATAAAAAATAAAATATGCTCAATTCACAATTACTTAAGTGGAAAAGTTTCAAGAAATGAGTCTGAGATGATTCACTTTATAACATGGCGCATTATCCTGCTGGAAGTAGCCATCAGAAGATTGGTACACTGTGGTCATAAGGTCATAAGGTCAGCGACAATGCTGAGGTAGGCTGCCTCATTTATTTGATGCTAAATTGGTATTAAGTGGCCCAAAATGTGGTAATAAATATCCCCCAAATAGATGGTACAAATAGATCAGGCTCAGTATGACCTAATTATAGACTCTTACATTTTAGCTTGAATTGATTTATTTAATTAAAGTACACTAGATTACTGTGTATGCCATTAGCAATGGCAAATGTTATGTAAAAAAATACACAAAATAATTTATTTCAAAAATTAGCTTTAATCAGAATCAGCAAGGTAAAATGTGCATTCCTTGCACAGTGCTCCTTGGGATTTTTAAAGCTTGGGAAATCTTTTTGTTTCCAAATCCAGCTTTAAACTTCTCCACACCAGTGTCTCGGACCTGTCTGATGTGTTCCTTGTTCTTCATGATGCTCTCTGCACTTTAAACAGACCTCTGAGGCGATCACAGAGCAGGTGCATTTATCGGGAGACTTGATTACACACAGGTGGATTCTATTTAGTATCATTTAGGTCGACATTGGATCATTCAGAGATCCTCACTGAACTTCTGGGGAGAGTTTGCTGCACTGAAAGTAAAAGGGGCCGATTCATTTTGCACACCCCACTCTTCAGTTTTTTATTTGTTAAAAAAGTTAAAAATATCCAATATATTTAATTACACTTCATGATTGGGTAAAACTAGTTGTTGATTCTTCACTAAAAAATTTTTATGTTCGATGCCTGAAATGTGGCAAGAGTTTGAGATTTTCAAGAGAGCAGATTATTTTTGCAGGGAAAACTGTAACTGGGCTGATATCTAAGGAGAGCTCTGACAGGGTTTCACTTGCCAATAACATACATTTATAACATAAGTTTTAGTGGTTGTAGAAGTAATAGAAAACACAGATCTGGGAACTGGAATTCTAGCAGCACTCCTACATTATTCTCTACATTTTCTCTCCGTTGGCCTTTCTTTCACAGTAAATGGTATCGGCATCTCAGATATGTTAGATCTGTTTACCAAGCTTTCCTGTCTGACCCTTCAAAACAATCTACCATCAACAGCATTGTGTTGTAGAAGCTTTTATGCAAGAGCCTTTTTTTGGGAGTTTTTACAGCACATTTTGGAGTTTTTACGGCACTAGTGTCTCGTTTTTTGGCAGTAGGCTGGCAGGAAAGGAGGTATGAGAGAGGGAGAGACATGCGGCCAAGGATTCGAACCCGGGTCATCCATGTCGAGGACTAAGGAATCTTTCTGTACTTGGGTTTTGTGCGCTAAACACTGGGCAAGCAAAGCACGCCCTTATGCAACAAACTTTTAAACAATTTTCCCAACATTTATGAAGAACAGCAAAGTTGCTCTTTTGTAGTTTTTATTATTTTCACCTATAAACATAGAAAAAGTCAGCAGCCTTTTGAAATGTTCTGTAGTATGGTATAAATCAAGATTCTCCAGAACATATCTCCAAAGCCTGCTATTTTCTGTAACACAAGTTGTGCTACCCACAGTAATTGCTGATAAAAAGTCTAAAGACTGTTTTAGAGTTTTCATATTTCTTTATGCTATTACTAGTTTTAAATCTGTGGTAAACTATTGTTTTACAGCAACTCCTCTCTCACATATACAATATTGCATCTTCTAATATGTTTCCTTAAAGACTGTTTAGGACAGGAAGCTACAAAGTTAAATGACCATAAACTCCATGTAAACCCCTAGCTATTATTATTTTATGTTTGTTTTATTTATTTATTTTATTTTTATTTTTTTTATTTAACCTTTATTTAACCAGGAAAGTCCCATTGAGTTAAAGTAACTCTTCTTCAGGGAGTCCTGGCCAAGAAGGCGGCTTAAAAAGTTACATTAACATAAAACCACAGAAGACAAGACAACCACAGCTACATATCATCTAGGCAAAATTAAACACAACACAACAAGATTGGGCATACACATACAACCAAAAAGCAATTTGGCAATTAATTAATAATAGAAATATAGCAATTAAGCAATATTTGTTTATTTATTTATATGTTTGTTTCCCTTGTTTTATTTTTATTTATTTTTTACATTATATGTCTCATTATTTTTAAGTTATAATGTCACCAACTGCTGTGTATCTTTGTTTGATGTTTGAATTACTCTGTATTGTTACACGGAATTGCCAATAAAGCAAAATAAAACATGATAGATGCAGCTGTTCTTGCGAGTCCTTCCGTATAACAATGATTGGAGGAGCTATACTCAGAAGAACTTTATCTCCAGTTCCTTTGTTTGGATTTTGCTGATACGTGATCAATGGCTGGACGACGTCCCCCGTTCAACTCGCCTTCAACTCCTCTTGGACGCGATGGCGACTCTGCAGTCGAACAACTGTGCGGGAGAGACGAACTCAAAGAAGAGAAGCTAGCGGTAAATATATGTTCGATTACTGCTAGCTAAGCTAAAAGCTAAAGCTACGGCTAATAGTAGCCTTGCAAGAACAAGCTTTATTAAAGTGTATTTTTTGTGATTCACAGGAAGCAGTACGCCGTCTTAACAACTCGGAGACAAATTGCAGGCGCTATGAACCGGAGCAAGGGTAAGATTTAAAGAATATGCTTTCATTCTGCGGTAAAAGGAAATAGATACGGATGGATACCGATCATCAGTGTTGGGAAAGTTCTCTTTCTACGTGAACTAGTTCAAAGTTCAGTTCACACATTTTAAAATGAACTAGTTCAGTTCATAGTTCATAATTCAAAACCAAAAAATGAACTAGTTCATAGTTCTTTTTTTTTCATATATTGCTCATTTACACCATAGCCTACTGTAGAACCACAGACAGCAATTATTTTATCAGTTGTAACTCTGAAACTGTGTGTCAGATTTCATCTTCATATCCAGTTTTGAATCCTTATCCAACCAGGGTTTCCATTAGCATTGAGGGGACAGCATTTCCCCATTGTTGCTTTAACGCTTTGTTGCTGTCCATTCACTTCACACTAGTAGCAGCTGCAGCTTTCACCCCTACAGTATATTCTCAAAAACATCAGGAAAAATGTGCTGCTTGAATGGTCTTTTTTATGAGGAATTATTAAAAGAAAAACAGGAAAGTAGTCTTTAAGGTGCAAATGTTTTTTTTTATTTTAATAATTTTTTTCCATTTGAAATTCCATTTCAATACATACTAAAAAGGAATCCTGGAAAATTATACCAGGCAGGTTTAACAAACAAGTTACATGGATAGTAAAACCCTCAAGAACAGGGGTCTTCTATGTTTTCCAGACCAAGGACCCCCAAACTGATGGCGAGATGGAGCGGGGACCCCCTAACTATATATATTGTATGAAATTGTGTCCTATAGTCACTCTATTACAGATGGAGTAATGTAAAGAAATTAATTTCTCCCTGGGATTATTAAAGTTTTTCTGATTCTGATTCCTGGTTGTTGTGAAGGAAACGGTGCCCAGCTTGAAAGAGCTCCTGTGTGTCGCTGAATGTGAGCATTGATGACTGAAAGACATCTTCTGCCTCCATTTATCTGTTTACTACAGTGTGTTGATTTCATGTTAATGAGTATTTAAAGACATTTCAATTAGTGGGGGGAAAATTGCAGGGGGGGAATATAAAAATATCAACTAACCATGCAGACCCTCATGCAGTACCTCCGTAGACCCCTAGGGGTCGCGGATCCCCTGTTGAAGACCTCCGCTCAAGAAGATTTTACTAACACAAACTGAGGGACCAGGCTGAGGTAGGAATTTAAGGTTACTGAAGTGCGGATTTTTTTACTGAAAGCCGGCGGGCAAACTTGTTGCCATCATCCTCACCGACCACCTGGTCATAAAACTGTTTTAAGTGATCATACTGCTGCTTTGTCGCCTCCGTGCTGCTGTGGCTTCCACGCTGCATTTTGTTTTGATGACGCACGCGGCTGTAGGCTACGACGCTGGTAGCTGGTGTTGCCAGATTGGGTGTTTTTCCCGCTACATATTAAGGCCTGTTTACGGTGTGATTTAGCCGGGGTTTCGGCTGGAGGACTCTATAGAAATCTGGCAAACTGAGAGAGCGTGCCGTTCACAGACACCAGAATGAACGAGTTCACAATAACGTTCATCAGGCAATAATGCAGTACGGTCAGTTCACGTTCGCCCAAAATATGAACGAGTTCATGAACTTTCGTTCAATGAACGCGTTCAGGCACAACAATGCCGATCATAGCTGTACATTTTGTTTTCACAGACTAATCTCGCCTCATAATGAGGTGGTGACCTCCTATTATTCATACCACTCTCATTTAATTGTTTTCCAGCTGCCTGTAAGACGTATTATGAGACGGTACGCAAGAGCTTCAGATATACGCAGCCAGAGAACACGTTGCGCGCGGAAGCTGCCAAGCATTCAGAAAAGAGAGTAAGACTTTATTTGGTGACTGTTTTTCAGGTGCATTGATAGATGTGTTGTGTCCATACGCAGTGCATCCCATCGCATAGTGCTGATTCATTTTTTTTTTTTTTTTTTTTTACAGCTGGTGGAATCGAGGCAGAGTGTGCTAGCTCATGAGGAAGTGGAACTCTGGAAGTCCGCCACCGTCGACCTCATGTCTGACGAAGAAGATGGCGTCGTTGGCGGATGGATTGTATGGCCGCCGCCATTTCGTAGGGCGGATCTCCCTGAACTCTGTGTTAAGCTGCAGTCCCGGTTAGAAGCGATGCCGAAGTACAGGGCCACGCACAGTAGGCGTCTGCACATCGGACCTGCCTCGGAGGGAATGCTGCCAGTTACCTCCAACCCCGAGGAAGCAAACGGACCGTTCACGGACTTTTAATTTTTGGATACGCATGTGTGGGCAGATCCTCACGTTGTATATAGTTGTGTTTGTTTTAATAAAGCTCTTTCTTTGCATAAACAGCTTCCTGGCAAATGTTCATTTCCTGTATAAATTCATTCATGTCCTTGATGGTAGCCTAATAATTGTGTAGTAGTGTAGGATAACATAAATACACAGCATATGAATAAATAAATATATGAATGAATAAATATATGAATAAATAATAAAAAAATAAAAAAAAAAAAATAAATATATATATATATATATATATATATATATATATAAATGTTTTCTCACCCCTCGTGGGGTGGTATGTGTCATCCTCAAGCTCGGGTCCTCTACCAGAGGCCTGGGAGTTTGAGGGTTCTGCGCAGTATCTTAGCTGTTCCTAGGACTGCGCTCTTCTGGACAGAGACCTCTGATGTTTTACCTGGAATCTGCTGTAGCCACTCTCCCAGTTTGGGGAACACAGCCCCCAGTGCTCCAATTACCACTGGCACCACTGCTGCTCTCACTTTCCACATCTTTTCTAGTATATATATATATATATATATATATATATATATATATATATATATATATATATATATATATATATATATATATATATATATATATATATATATATATGCGTTGTTTAAAAAGAAGTGGTTCCGTCCAATACTCAGTAAGAAAATTAAAGCCTGGCGTGGCCACGTGTGGTTTTGCTGCCAATCACGAGCGATTTCATTTGTTTGAGAATAGTGGTTTCAGCCAATACTGAGAAGGTTATTCAAGCCAGACCTGGCCAGCCGCGCGAGTTCGCTGCATTCATATGCTAATTAGGGCCATTAGTACAGCTGATCGCTCTACACATACATCAGAGTCCGTTTCCGACAATTTGTGGCACGACAAACGCGGACAAGCACGGGTTGCAAATTGTCGGAAACTGACGAAAATCAGGGAGATCTGCGGGAGTTTACGGGACGAAAATCTCACTTTTCATGCAGTGCGGGGAGCAGTGTGGGGTTAAGGGTCTTGCTCAGGGACCCAGAGTGGCAGGCTGTATGGAGGCAGGGGTTGCTAGTTAGAGTGCCCGCTCCGTCTGTCTCTGTCATTCTGTCCTTGAAGAAGAGACAGGCCTGAAATCTGTACAACAGCCTGACTTTGTCATTATCCCAGAGCAGCTGAGGCTGCGGCATAGCTCACCTCTCTCAGTGTGGGGATGTCAGAGTAAAGTGCTTTGGACTGTATTAGAACAGGCCAGTTACCATTTCTCCTTTTGAGTTTGCCGTAGCAACCGGGAACTTACGTGGTATAGGGCGATGTCCTCCCTGTCAAGGATTTTGGTCACGCGGACGTCTCCAGTATGAGGGTCAACCACAAACACATGAAAAGGGTACTGATTTGCTCCGATGCCCTCTAAGGAATAAGTAATTTTTTCCGACCCTGCATAGTCCGATCGGATCTGAAACAGAAGGGGACTCTGATTTAGTGAAGGAAACCATCTGAAGCCATGCTGCAATGCTCCACCAGGTGAAGGAGCCGTTCGAACTGTCGTCACTGTCAGAAAGTTAATTTTTTTTAAAACAAAACAGGCAAAGCAACAGAAATAAACCTAGAGGAGATTCTGTCTCCCTTCTTCCACCAAATCCAGGATTTGTTTGCCAGTGAAGTCCCTCACCTTGGCAATAGACAACTTGTGGGTGTGGTCCTCATTCTCCTTCAGGGGTTTAGGAGGGACCACCCACTCTCTTTTGTGACGCACCAGATGCTCTCTGGAATAAGCTGAAACCAAAACAGCAGCCTGAATCTGTGAAGACAGGAAAGGTCATGTTAAGGTCAGATTTAACAGAAAACAGATGTTCCCTTTAATTAAAAAAAATGATCTCTGTTTTATTTGGTTCTCATGCAGAAGAAACAATTTAGTTGCAGCAAAATGAATGAATCATTATAATAATGAAATAATTACACCAGATCGTCTGTAAACTGAACTTTCATATTATTTTGGCGTTGCTGCCGAGCCTGCAGGCCAAGCAGGTTAACCGTGGCAGTGCAGGCTGACGCAGGACTAGCTGCTGCTTTCACACCTGTTGTTCAGAATCCACCATTTCATCTTTGGAGGAGAATCAGCAAGATTCAAACTGGAGGCTGTTCTTTCTTTCACCCCCCTTATTGACTAAAGCCAGACTTTGTTCACCCCTTCTGCTGAACGTCCAACTGTTTCCCAAACAGATACGAAGGGAGCAGTTTCAACCCGAGGGCGACGCATTATCAGTCTGACGCTGAAGGATGATAAAAGTCATGTTTTTGAATAATACTGCCTGGACTTTTTAATGAGAACTTTAAAGGATTTACCTCAAAATGAGAGGAACGCAGCTTCAGATCGGACTGTGTTCGTTTTCAGTCCACCGCTCTCCGTACCCGACTTAATTAAAAACAATTTAACACTTAAATCATTAAGCACCAGAGTATCTACCTTCAAAACAACAAACAGACATTATATTGATTCTTATTCTAGAGTAAAACCAAATAAAATGGCTTTATTACTTCAGCTAAGGATGAATATAGGGACTGAAAAAGGACACAGTCATTTCTGTGGCATGGTTAGACTAAGAGACCCTTATGGAGAGGCCTGCAAGGGGACATACAGTTGGAGTAGAGCTAAGAGACTTCGGTGCACAAATTTCTCTCCACTTTTGCAAAATCTTGTGAACCTTACACTGTGTCTGTCTGGTCTTACTTTTTATAGGTTAAAAAGTTAAGCTCAGAGGGTCTTAGGAGCAAATTCCACCTGAAATTAAATATGTGAATTAAAGCAAGTTCAGCTATAAATTGGAAATTAAATTGTTTGTATTTGTGTGACAGAAAGGCATTGAGGAATATTTTAAGGTGAAACCAATATTTTAAATGTCAACGTGTTTGATTTATAGGTGATTAAACAAAGGAAAAAACTGGAGAAAAAAAAAATGAGCTCGCAAATTTTTTTCCAAAATAAAAACTGCAAAACACTGTGAAAGCTTATTTGAAGCTCTGGATGAACCCTCAGACTTTATAGATCAACATCTTGACTAAAAATCAATCTAACTTGAACTGAATAAGTTGAAGCATGTTTGTTCCACAAAGGTTTTAGTGGGCAGGGAGCCAGGCAGAAATGGGATTTTTTTCCCACTCATAAAAGGGAATCTGTTCAGACAAATACCGTAAATCCTCTAATATTGGCCTGTATTCCATTAGCGGCCGGGTCTCTAATAATGGCCGGTCTCGCTGTCGGCAGATGTCAATTATGGCCGGACTCGTATACAGGCAGGGGCTAAAATTAGAACCAACAATGTTCCTGGGCAGTCCTCAACAACCTGTGATAGTAACATACAAGTACCACAGGGGGGCAGTGTTTGCTAACGAATCCAAGCCGTTAGCGTGGGAAGTCCCATCCTTACACTGAGATCGTAGTGGCCTTACACAATCGTTCTGATCTGAAACACACATGATCACCGGTAGGTCTGGTGGTAACCAGGCAGCATTAAAATGACTTCGTTGTTCTGAATTTCCCTTGAAATATACGATACTGGTAGCCTAATTCCACTTAGCCTGCCTCAAATAAAATGTCGTTGTGATGGCAGAACAGTTTCCATAAAATTTTTTTTTACTTTGTTTTGCAAGTAAGTTTGGCCAAGATTCCATTCTGCAGAAACATTGCAGCTGCTGGAAGACGTCTGAATAATGTTCTGTATATCGTTATGGTAACTGTACTTATTCAATAAATGAACCTAGTATTTTATAGGTTCAAAGAGACACAAAATCTCATTGTTATTCATTCCACTGGTCGTCTGTTTGATCAAATAGAAATAGAGGCCTGCCTCTAATTCTGGCCTCCTTCCAATAATGGCCTGGACCAAGATGTACCTCAGTGAAATAAAGGCCCTGGCCTATATTAGATGATTTACGGTATTCTGATTTCCATTATTTGAGACCTTCTGCATGAGGCAAAGTCTTCGCTCCTAAGATAAGTCATTTCATTGAAATTTACCAATAATATCATCAAACTGAATAGAAAAGAAGAATAACAGTTGGATCCGGTACCGGGCCCGCTGGGCTTAACCAATCACCTTACAGGCCATGAGCCGGCGCACTGGGCTGTGCAGACATAAATATGCACACCCAACCAGTTAGAGCAGTGGTTCCCAAACTTTTTGTGCCCAAGGCATACCAAAGGACATGTAAAAATCTCAAGGCGCACTTATTGTGCTAGAGCATTTAAAACCTGTCATCCATCGTGTTTAGCAGAATATTTGTTACAATTATGTAGTAATTCAAAATAAATTGTGACAAGACAACTATATTACTCATGAAATATTTATTAACAAAATATTCCAAAATTTAATTTGAAACTTCATCAAAATAGGCTTCATCAAGGCAGCCACACGCCTATTTAAATCATGGTTCACAAAATTAAAAACGAAGCAAAGAAAACTCAGCAGAAATTAAGCACAAAGAACTGTCAATGCAAGGAAGCTGCACTGTCCATTGTCCTGAACTACAAATAATAAATGTAACATTTTTTTTATCAGCATTGAATCGTGTGCTGTTGTAAATATTTTGTCTGCTTACAAATTAGTGAGACACGTGTGCCTGTCGGTGGGCACCAATTTTTTTTATCCTTGGTGGCACTGAGGAGAGGGCCACACGCAAGTCCTGTTCAACAGAGCGCCGTGACCTCCTGTTGTTCTTCATGTAAACCAGAGTAGAGAACGCCAGCTCACACAGGTAAGTAGTGGGGAAAAGAAGAAGTTGCTCAATTGCGTGGCGTGAGATGTTTGGGTATTCTGATGCAGAAGCCAACCAAAACTGATCCAGTGGGAGCTCACTAAATTTGAGTTTTAATGTGCGGTCCGCACGGAGCTCTGCGCACTCCTCTCTTTCTTTCATTGTCCGTTTTTCTGTTGAAGATTCCTGGTTGAATGGGTCTCGGATCCAGTCGTAATCCTCAACGTCAGCAACATGTGGAAAGTAGCGCTCAAACCTCTCTTTTAAACTCTGAAGGTGTTCGGCATATAATGTGCGCTCCTTTCCTGCCTGCGGCACAGCTGATGCCAGCGGTAACATGTCCATCGTGCCCTGTTCCAAAGCCTTGCGCCACAGGATGATAATTCCTACCTGCGCATCTCCGTGGTCAGGGAGTTCTCCTTGAGGTTTTTTTTTCTTTTTATATTATTTTAATGTAGTTTGCCTCTGTTTTGTGAAAATGAATGCAAAAAAAGTAGTGATATGACCGTATAGGCTTTTTATTTTTCTGTTATTGTATTGCAATAACCATACATGGTTGTCACAAAATTCCACGGCACACCCGCACTTGACTCACGGGACACCATTAGGGAACCTCTGAGTTAGAGTATGGTATAAATATATCCAGGCTGGGTGCGGTGTCTTTTGGTGAAAAATCATGAGATGAGAAAGAGTTTTGTTCTGTACTGGGATTTTTTGGAAAGCATTGGAATACCTTTTTTCCCAGGCTGGCGGGAATGAAAGTGAATCATTTAAGTAACTTGATTTTTGTCCTACCAATAGCTTTTCCATACTGGTAAGTTAAGGGCAGCACCGATCAAGATTCAGCTGAGTTTTCTCACTTAAAGAACTGAGTTAAAGATGTTATCTGAGCCCGATAAAGGAAAGTCATTTTGCTCCAACTTTGTTTGGCTGCAACAACATAAGACAAACAAGGCAAACTTTTCTAAATGGTAAAAGCAAATGAAGCTTCGCATGAGACGATGCAGCGACACAGGAGATGCTGTGGTGGATGTATTGAACCCGTTGGTGGCGCTGTGACAGAAACATGCACAATAATAGACTGTGAAGTTCCCATGGCAACAGCAACCAACAGTTATGCCTGTTTAACGTGGCTGCTGTATGTGTTACTATTTTACAAAATATCCGTTTTCCGTCCTCATAAGGACAGTTTTCTATTTTAATGTTTGATTCATTGTTTTTGCTCCAGTCTGTCCTGCTTACTATAAACGAGATGTGTGACTTTAAAACTGACTGCCCACCGAGCAAAAATTGTGTGAAAAGACAACTTTATTTACGTCCAAATAAGGTCTATATTTGGTTGAAAAGTGAACAACCTTAATTTTCAGATTGTTGAAAAACATTGAAAACTATATCGGTAAAGTCTTTTCTTATTGGACTAAAGTGGGACAAAATCAGAGCTACCAACAACAATTCCTGGACTAAATCCAGACTATGACTGACCGACCAGATTTAGCCTAAAAACCAACGTCTGAATGACGTCTGGTGTTTGGGGACTGATTTCTCTGCGATTTTATTTTGGATTTTCCCCAAAAGTGGATGAGCTTTACTTTGTAACTGCATCTCTCTTCCTGTCAGACCCATTAATTGCTGCTGAATTGCTGCGTAGTCTGCCTAAAATAGAGCTGGGCTCTGTCTCAGTCGGAGCTACGCTGCCCCCTGCAGGAAATCATCCCCATCGAACTTCAACCAGCGCTAAACGCCACGACTTCGTCCGGCACGATGTCGGATCGCACGCAGAATAAGATTGGGTTTGTCTCGGCCTTTAGGACGTTACATGCTTCAAAAGTAAGTGTTTTAGCTCCCACAGCAGCTAAATGTCGTAATCGTTTATTCGTAGCCGTCCCTTGGGGGTCTTGCTGATTTTTTCACAGCTTGTCGGGGAAACAGTGAGCTTATGGCTTGGTCTCTTTTCCCTCATCAATCCAACAGATGCCTGCTGTCCTTTGTGTTGGCGATGTGTTTTCATTTGCGAGGTGAGCTACACTGGACCCGCTTTTCTACATGATTGATAGCTCAGCTTCCCCAAGAGTATAAATACTTTAATACATGACAACAGTTTGAAAACAATTTGCTTTGCCATCTTTTATTTTTTTATTTTTTTTCAAATGAGAACAAAAACAAAAGCCTTTGTATGAAACAAATGTTACATAACCCGCCTTTTGTTTCATAACGATGAACGGACTGAATTGATCTTTTTTGTGGAAACTACACTTTGATGAAATGTGTCGATCTGGTAATAAATTGTAAAATAAAAATATGACAAAGTGCTGTTTGTTTAACCTTAGTGTAAAAAAAAAGTTGGGTGATATGTTTTAACACCACCTGGCCTCCATTTTGCCATTTTTGGGTAATTTTACAAATTTTTTTTTTCTTTATACAGTACAACAAATTGGTTTTATGTAATTAGAATCACTTTCCATAGCTGCACGGCTGACATATAACTAATTGTCACAATGAATTATATGTGATGACAATTGGAAGCAGGCCAAGCGAACATTTGCATCAGGAACTCTGATCTGGTTGCAAAGAGTAAGAGGAAGATAAAGAAACAGAAGAGAAAAACCCCAGAATGTTTGAACCAGAATGGTCTCTAACAATCATTAGTAAAGAAACACAGAACATTTAAGGACATCCAGTTGTTTTTTTTACAGTCAGTAAATACTGCGTGAGCATGGAATTTCACTGAAAGCCGGCCACACCCAGCGCTCTCTAACTAAACATGCACCTTTTTACCTGAGGGAAAAGAGGATTTTGTTTCAAAAAGTAGTTTTAAGCTAAAAAAACTGATCTGGACTCACCCCAAACAGAATTAACAGCAGAAAGGACCTGCTCCGTCGGGTCATAGTCACCCAGAAAAGTCCAGTGGTTTCAGAATACAAACTCAGTCCTGTTGCACTTTTTCCTTGTCTGGTCTGAACAGTTTCAGGAAGGAGGCTTTAAAGCATTGGACAGAATCACACACAGCAGCAAAGAGTCGTCACGCCCCTACGGTGTGGGGTTACCTGAGGCTGGCGTGGGAGAAAACACCTAACCTGCCAGTTCGTGACTTCTTTAGAAGTCAGCTAATTACAGGTTCCCATCACACAGGCTGAAACACGGAGGATCCATAACAGCCGACAGCCAAATTCCACCGAAACCACATCAGCTTTTTATTTTACCCATCAGCCTTTTATAACCAACACTCTGTGTTTTAATATGTTCCAGATAAAGACTCATTATGCAGGATAAAGACATTATTTTTCCACTGCTGTTCTAATCTTTCTGAGGCCCTAACACAGACCATGAACTGCAACCTGCCGGAGTGATCAGGGCAGAAAGTGAAGGTGGTTTATAAAGCAGTCAAAAGGATTTAAGGGCCTTGAAATTAGAAAGCTGATTTACTTTATGATCTAAAACAGGGATCCCCAAAGTGGGTCCTGGAGGGCCGCTGGCCTGCAGGATTTAGAAGTTTCTCTGCTTTAGCACAGCTGATTCTTCTTCTTCTTGGATTTATTAGCACCTACTGGTATGGAGTGTAGTTAGTGATGGACTATCTACTAATAAACATATTTATAATTTCTAAGAAAAAAAATGACATACTTATTGTTCTACCCATCTAACTCATGCACACATTCACCATCTCTATAATCAAATTCTATGAAATAATTTTGTTTTCTTTAAAAATGGAATAATTATTTGTATATGTTTACTCTCCAAATTCTTCCTCAAAATATCTAATAAATGAATCTTTTCATTCAAACTCTCTCCTCGTAGATCTTCTCTCTCTTTCATGTTGATGACATTCCAGTATAAAATGTTCTATTGTTTCATATTTTCCACAGTAATTACATTTTCCAGTAGTTTGCTTTTGATTTTAGAAAAGTGTTTAATTCAATTCAATTCAATTCAGTTTATTTATATAGCGCCAAATTCACAACACATGTCATCTCAAGGCACTTTCCAGTTCACCAGATCATATAGTCAAATAGATTCAAAGTTTTCTATCTAAGGAAAACCAGTTGATTGCATCGACTCATTGACTCAAATACAATCCCCCACACTAAGCATGCTTGTAGCGACAGTGGAGAGGAAAAACTCCCTTTTAACAGGAAGAAACCTCCAGCAGAACCAGGCTCAGTGTGAGCGGCCATCTGCCGAGGCCGACTGGGGTTCAAGGAGACAGAAGCAGAGATACAAAAAGCAGCTGTAAAAGGCGGCCCCGTCCAGGAAACACACAGCCAGGCAGACGAGCTCCAAGGCAGCTCCCATGCCAGAGGACGAAGAGAGCACATCCACTCAGTCACGGTCAGAGAAACAGGACCACACTGGAAAACAGGCCGATCTCCAACATCTATAAACAAGGGTGTTGATAGAAGCAGCACAGCTGATGTTTTTTTCCAGGATGACGTCACAGCCAAACAGGAACAGACGAGGCAAAGCTACTCTGAGGAAAAGCAGAGAGAGCAGAAGGTTAGAGATTGAACTAACAGATTCTGCAGAATAGGAGAACAGAGAGAGAATGAAGCAGAATGATGAAATGGGATGAAATTAAGTCCTATTTGCCCAAATCTTAACCTCGTTATCTCTCCCTCCTCCTTTCTATTCTGCTTCCATTTCTTCTTTTTCTTACTATCTTCTGATTTTTATAAAAACTTCTTCCTGTTTTTTCTTCATGCCATCTTTTTGCCATTTTTCCATCAGTTTTTCTTTATAAAACTCTTTCCCTCTGATTGACTTGTTTTAACTGTAAAACTAACAGGATTATGAATTTCTCTCTTTGCCATTTTATCTGCCCTCTGGTTTCCTTCTACTCCAATATGTGCTGAAACTCTCACAAATACAACTATCAAACACATATTTTTTATTCTGAATAATGTATGAAATATTTTTAATAGAATGGCCATCCTATTATCTGATTATATTTTAAACTTTTTAGATCAGAGCGTGAATCTGAACAAATTTCTGTTATTAATGGTTTTATGTTTTCTGCCGACTGTAAAGCTAATATTATTGCCAACATTTCCCCTGTTAATCCTGATAATCGATCTGAAATTCCTTTTCCTATTTTTATATTGAATTCTGGTATTATAAAAACTATTCCTATTTTCCTTGTTATTTTTGATGCATCTGTATAAATGTGAATATATTGATAATAACTGTCTAAATGGAACTGTACTAAATTAATATCTACCGTGTACGATTTATCTTGTTTCTTTTCCATTAGTAACAGATCTGCTATTGCTTCTGGTAGAATCCATGGTGGTAGAACTGATATTGCTGTCCGAGTGATTTCTAAATTTCTCATTTTAAATTCTTTTATTTTGTTTTCAATTGTCCATCCAAAACTCCTAATTTCTTTCTTTTCTTTTTCCCAACATGGATTTAAAATTTCCCGAGTTGGATGATCAGAGTTATTACCTTCTACATTTAACCAATAATGTATTTCTAGTTTTGTTCTTCTTAAATCTAATGGCATTTCTCCCATTTCTCCTTGCGTTGCTGCTATTGATGTGGTTTTAAACGCTCCAGTACATAATTTTAATGCCTGATGTTGGATAATTTAGCCAGATGTGTTTTAGCTTAACTTTAGTTTAACTATTCAACCAAAGTCTATATTAGATCTTATCATACCTGTATAAATCTGTTTTAGTGATTGTTTATCTGCTCACCAGTCACTGCCAGCCAAGCAGCTCAAAATATTTAAGACTTTTTTACATTTATCAACATTTTTTTTTAATATGTATATTCCATTTTAGTTTCTCATCAAACAATAGTCCTAAAAATGTTGTTATACACTTTACTTGCTCTAATTGTTGGTTATATAATTTTAATTTTATGTCCTTTTTTATTTTTTTCTGATATCATCACTTTTGTTCTTTCCACTGAAACCCATTGCAATGCCCATTTCTCAATTTCCATAATAATCTCTTTTAATTTCTTTACAATAAAATCTAAATTTTTCCCTCTTTTCCAAACACAGCTGATTCTGATGATTGCAGCTGCTGGAAACCTGTAAAACCTGCAGGACAGCAGCCCTACAGGACCCACTTAGTAATGTTGGATCTAAAAAGTCCAATCATTACGTCCCACTAATGTCTTAAATCTATTCACATCATTGGGACCACGGATCCAGACTTCCCTCCCTCCAGAAACACCTTTGCTCTAATTCCTAAATATCTCAGCTGCATTTTATTGTCTGATCTTTTGCCACTAGTTCTGAAGCTGTTTGCAGCCTTTTATTTAAACATTGCAGAATAGCAGGTCCTGGATGAATGGAGATGGTGACACCTGCAGTGCAAAAACTATCTAGAAATAAGAAAAAAAATCTTAAATTAAGTGTATTTACCATAATTTGACTAGCTAAAACATCTGATCAGCCAAGGAAGGAGTATCTTTTCTCTTGAAATAATATAAATAGATAATATGCACTTGAAATAGGACAATGCTATTATATTTTTTGTTCTGTAAAATGTAAATTTTCTTCTTCCATCAAGAAAGTGTCTCACCTCCTCAATTCAAGAAAAAAAATCCCTTATTTTCAGAGAAATTGACTCATTTAGGGATTTTTTTTTGCATTTTTTGCAGCGTGCTAAAGAGGAGGCTCAATTCAGAATCAGTGATGTCATTATTTCAGCCTTGATCAACATTTCACTCCCTGCAGAGACCAAATGAGCTGAGAACCTCTTCACTCGTCTAAAGCCTTTACTTGGACGGGCTGGACCCGTTTGTCCGTTTCTATTTGTATGTTTTCTGAACCAAAACAAGGCTTGTTGGGCTGCTGGATAAAACCTGGAACTAAATGCTAACATTTTGCATTGGAAAACCTTCAAAGTCCAGTGGATTGTTTTGAAGCTTTTTGAGATGACTATAACCCAGATGACTGAGAATCTTCACCAGCAGATTTCTACTTTGTCCTCCCCTGCAGTTCCTCCTGGTTGATTTTTCTCTGGATCCTTGGCCTAGTCTCTACCTGAGTCTTGTGCTCGCTGCTCCATCTTCCCTCCTGCAAACACTCACCTGAAAGCTCCTCAGATCCTTCACCTGCCTGTCCACCTTCCAATGGCTTTTACTGCTGGAACAGCCAGCTGCCACATCTAAACCATCTGATCAATTTATCTGTTAGCAGAGCTCTAACACGTCCACTCTTCTAGAGCAGAACCGGACTCCCTACCCCGATCAGCTGTCTCCTGTCACTCATCTTCAATAAACATTTTCTAACCTCTTTCTGCTCTGTTATAGCTGCTTTTGGGACTCAACACTAATTATGACAACAATCAATATAATCAAAGAGAAAACAAACCCGTATTATTAACTGAAAGGGAAATGAGCATTTCTTTATTGGGTTTTTATAATCATAGAACGTCTTGTTTTGTAATGAAACCTTTGTTTTGATTTGTTGGATTTATTTTCCTTAAATGTCGACCATGCAAGAAACAATACTCTCTCTTCCATCACAACAATAAATCTCTACAGGGGAAAAGGAGCAAATCTCCATGTGTCACTCCCATCCCTAAAGTGCCACATTACAGTATATAAAACACTAAATGAGTCCTTCAGGTTCACTGGAAAGTTTCACTGAACAAACATTTCTAACTCATTCTTGATTGACCTGGAAACTCATTGAAACAGTAAATACAGTAAACATGTGTACATTTATAGATAGCTTACTCGTGTACATATAAATCATTAATTTGGTTTAAAGCATGGAGAAACAAGTATGGCTTTCCTTCCCAGTAAATGTGACTGTCATGAGTCCCCCTCCCTGCATTGGGACAGAATCATCTCCTTCAAATTGTTTTCAACGTCTCATATCCGTGTATTCCCTCCGCTCCACATTTAAAGCGTTCCATAAACCAGAACATAAAGCCTCTTCCAGGTCACGAGTGTCCCTCCATTTTTATGTTCCAACCTACCTCTTAATTATTAACCCCTTCTCTTTCAGTAACTGATTATATTTTGCTCTATAAACTGTTAAAA